ATCTGGGAATTTACCAAGTCAACAGTCCGACGCTGGGAATTATTATAACTAGTAAAGAATAGGACTTCGGACAAGGTGTGTCCGGCTAACTCTCCCTGATAACACGACCAAGTTGAGAAAACGAGGTCAGACCAGTCAATCAATGTTAAAACTAATTCAAGCTGATTTCTAAAATTGTTACAACTATATACTCCGCACCTTTACATTTTGTGAGGTCTACGGTGATTTTGTTAGCTTGTATAATGTGCAAATCTGAAAATGTGCCTGTGCCTGTGCATTGGCGTTGATATGGGTGCGAAACTCATAATTATAGCTGTAAATAATTAGAATAATGAATACAATTTCTTACAAGTGGGTTGACCTCGTTGTGCGAAACGTTTGAGAATGTGCCCAGTCCACTGCCTGATGCTGGAAATCATGACAACTACTATGGCAGACGAGTTCGGACTAGGTGCGTTCTACTAAGTCAACAACTGACAACAATACCAAGTTAAAACAACGAGGTCAACCCACTTCTATAAATCAAAAGGCGACTGCGACCGTTTAACTTAGTTTCAGCCTGATATGCAAGTATAAATCTTTTCACATATCCATCGACTATAATCTGAAAATCTATGGAATCTTTTTAGGGATGCTGATTGAAATTCTTTGGTGACCAGAATCTTACCTAGTGGTATTGAAAATCATCTGCTTTTTGTCTTCATTTGTTTATTTCTCTTAACAGCCTGTTTTATTACTAGTCAGGATCACCTGTTGCCTTTTTACTCAGACAAATTAAACTGGGATGAGACTGGATTAGTTTGTTTGTTTTGTTATCTTCGCTATTGACTTCAAGATTAAAAAGAATCATTTTACTATCTAAGTCATACCAAATGTGAAAGACAAAGGTTATTTTTATTTTCTCTTATTGGTCACTTATAGAGATCTTCTGCGCTTTGTGAAGATAGTATGGGAGGCCTGGACGATTTGGAGGATGATGAAGACTATCTGGAGGATGGGGATGCCGAGGACACTACTGATGTTCAGGCGGATGATGGTACATAATTACGCTTCTT